AAAACTGTTAGGCTAGCACAGCCTCCTACCGGGCGTATAAAGTTAGAAGGCATAAGTGAAAATGTTGCACAAACACAGTGGGGAATGTTGTCATAATTGCAACATTTCTCGCATTTCTATCCCGAGCAGCTCTTGGCACATGCCCTGGTCTTGTAGACAGATCAAATACCATGCTTTATAGATAGACGAGGTTTTATTAGTCGGTAAAACAAAAATGTTTGTGTAAAAGAGAGAGAGAGAGAGAGAGAGAGAGAGAAAGAGAGAGAGATCGATCTGGCGATGTTTCATCGTTAGGACATTTTGATCTTTATTAATGTCACATTACTTGTAACTGGACAGAAACACAGTCAGTTATCGACTGTCAAGAGGTTTTTATAAAGCATGCCCGGCAGAAAGATAGAATATTGACGGGAAATTAACAACTAGTACTGAACTCGGCATGAGAATTGGAATGATAGATGATTACATACTAACCAAACGACGTGCTTTCCTGTACCGAGTGCTTCACGTGAATGGCAGTCCTTTCATGTGGTACTTTTCATGTGGAACACACTATATTAAAGGAAATTATTTTAATGTGCTATTTCATACCTCATGTGGGTATCTTGTGGAGAAAATAAAGCGATGTTAAAGTGGAGGAAAAACGCTGTCAGTGCGCCACCCACACTATTTCTGTCTTGTGCAACACTAGAAAAGCCTTTCACAGTGAAAGTGCGTTTCGGTCGCCTTTTAAAGGCATGAATGGTAATGAATATCTTTAAAAAGAAAAAAAAATACACCCTGAATAGTGATAGCCGGTTAATTGTTGTCAACTATGTATACAGGTGCTATGGTGGAAAGTAGTTTAACATTGTGTACACATTTACAAATACATCCACCGTGGAATAGTAGTTAAATTAAACATCCGCGACTTTCACCAGAATGCAATAGGGTCTCGCACTCGCCTTGGAAATCGACAACGGGTGTGACCACGCGCTGTTGTGCCCTGATAAAGGCACGCTGTAATTTACCCTGCAAGGTAGATCAGGTATTGTGCAGGTGTTGCGTTCTGTAATTATTTACCTTGGCAATTTAGTGGCAGCGTAATCAGTACAATGCCTTCTCCTGCCCACCATTACCGCAGGTTGTGTATTTTCCTCGCTTAAAACATCAATGGCTTTCCCCTCTGCTACTAATGTAAGATATATTGTTGTCAGTCATCACATTTTAGGGTAGGGTTTCGCATGCCAGTAAGCTATTTGCGTGGAAAAATAGAATGACCGTAAGAGATTGCGGAGTCCGTTAATGCAGCAAAAGTCATCAGGCAACGTTCGCTGTTTGACCCGCTATAGATTGCTCGGTGATTTAATCCGCTGTTAGAAACCGAGTTTGAAAATGAAATTTTCATCTGGCCAAGAAGTAATAGAAATGCAAGTGTACAGGCTCATCGTATAGAATACTGAAAGCCAGAGAATATGTTCTTGAACTTTTTACAAAAAAACAAAAATTTAAGTGTATATTTAATAATATATTTAGCAGTTATCACTAACGTCGAGATGACACAGTTTGTTTTTTGTTCCTTTACCTTAAATGAGTTTCATATATCAACAAAGACCTGCCAAATATTTCTTATAACAACAAAATTGACCAAGGAGGCCGTATCTAATTTAATAACCGAATGTTTACCTTACATTCTAATGTACTGAATTATTTCTTTAACGATTCATTCCAAAAAGATTTGGATAAAGAAATCGTATCGATTGGTCTGTGAACTCTGTAGAACTGTTATTGTATCTTTCCTTATTAATAAACGACAGCAAACAGTGAATATGAAAGGTGGGAATTAACGGTTTTTAGTCATGGGTACTTCACAAAACATCGTTCGATCAAAACACCTGGCAAGAGTAAGGTGAAAAATGGGGGTCATGTCACAGGTGAACTTTCATTCCATAGCGCGGACCTCTCCCCCACCAAGTGTGACGTCTCAAAAGTAGCGAGTCATAATTTACCTTTTTCTACGTTGAAAGAAATCGGAGCTGAACTGCCGAGTACGGGTGGGAACAGCCCTGTTGCTTGAGAGCAAAGAAAACTATACACCGGGACTAAATATCAAGATACCACTTCCTCTTTCTTTCCCAAAGAATAATGTTGATGCAATCCATGACCTTTGCACATTGCCATTTTGATAAGGAAAATGAAGGAATAAATACAATTTTAAAAGAAAGTTGTGGCATGTAAATGCGAACGTCAGGTACTCGCACAAACGCTAAGTGCACAACTATTAACATTTACGCCATTTTCAAACCAGTGCCAGAGTTTAAAAACTCCTTACTTTCGGTCGATAAACACAAAATATATATTAGGCTAGAATTTCACCCCATTGCCCATGTACCGACGGCTACTGCTGTGCTCCCTTATTTAACTGCCAAGTCGTATATACAAATCAAAGGACTATCCTGATCCAACCCCTAATGCTTGACTGTCTTTTAACAACACACCTTGTTCTGAATTTTGTTTTATGATGTCTTCGCGTTGTTTTGTCATCACTGGCGACTTTGGTGAGTGCAGTGTGCACCGTTGTGAAGAGGTCAAGGGAGTCCCGCCTGGAAAAAATATTCACACGCACACCGTATAAGATCTTCCAGTATTTTTTTTATTCTTATATTCTGATCATAACATGGCAAGAGGCGTGATGAAGAATGTACATATATACAAACGAAAAATAATAACTTTACATCGCATTAATCGATTTATCAATACAATAAGAGCAGCATAAATAAACGGACCAATTATACTGAAGCCTCGTAGGCCAGAAAGCTATCAAAGCCTCAAAGCTGTGCACTTAACATCTCTGTACAAAATACAAAAATATTCCATTAATTCCATTAATTGTATTGATCGTCACACATTATACAGATTATGATTTTTTTTCCTGAGGAGTCCAGCAGGAAAGACAGTCTATCAACAACATTAATGTGACTCACTTAAACAAATAAAATTACGATTGATAAATGCTGAATGAAGGTCTTGGACATGTACAGCGCGTTACAAAAATACAAAACATCGAGAAAGAATATTTACACACATCATTGATATTTCCAAAGTATATACATACTCTTTCCTTCATTAGTTGTTCTCAAATACAGCACGCATTGGTTTGCTGCGGCCAAGCGTTAACGTATTGCACAATTACATAAATATTTCCGTCATTATTGGGCCAGGGGTCTATTATTGTTCGATGCCAAATTGTTGGATCGAACGTAACAATTGAACTATGGGTATACATTAGTACCTATTAGCAGCTTTTTGGGCAGGTTGACTGACAGGTCAAGGAATTAGACCAATTATGTTGGGCATTTGCGATAAATATGAATGGCATAACATATATTGAACTGCAGCCATGGTCTGAATAAATATACCATGTCATATAGAGCATGTTATTCCTTTGCGATGCGGGCACATCGAGCTATATTACACTATTTTACAGGAGTGACGTGCAACTGGCACAGAAGCATTTGTGAAAGTAGAATCCTAACCTGTCATTTGTGAAAGTAGAATCCTAACCTTGGTCTTTCTAATCAATGTCCTTCGCCCCAGAGAAAGTCGACAAGAATGAATGCAAGTCTGAGTTGTCATTTCCATCCCATACACGAAGAACTCGTGGAAAATCAATGGGTCTAACAATATCCGACTCTGTGAGATCCTGCAAATCTCGTCAAGTCTTAATTGAGTTAAAAGCCTCTGTATCAATTAAATACCATGCGTGGTGGTTTGTTTGACTTTGTCTAGCAAATTTTAAGATAAGAAATTACAAGTAGCATTATACACATGTATGTAAAAATTAAGTAGAAATGCGTGTAACGTGCTTGAAAGTTGCTTCCCAAGAATGCTTTGATTAACGGACGTTGTCATGGGTACCAAAATCACCACAATCACGAAGAAGTCGAAAAGTGCTGCTCAACAAAGCTTCGCCTATTCAAAGTGGAGGAGAGATGCACTCGTATTTATATAATGAAGATAAAATGCAGTAGTTCCGGTTGTTTGGTGTGATGTCCAAATATGTAGCTTATCAACTTAAACTGTGATAGATAGTTCTATCTAGCTAACTAGGGCTGTTTTTCATTTACGTGGAAACGTAAAAACAAGCTGGATAGCCACGGGTATTTTTCTAAATAAAGGTCATCTCTCTTAAAAAATGGTGGTCTTAACATCACATGTAAATGACCGCTATAAACTAAACCCCTTTGGCCTTTAGGGCTGTAATGAAAAATTTTACGAGCATCATTTTCATTCACCCCAGTGCTACATGTTCACTCTACTTGAAAAATACACTACGCCCGGTAACTTAACACAGGTACAGGTCACCTATTTGTTAAGTACTACATTTGCTATTGCCATTTTCATAGACGCAAGCTGACTTCTCCATCAATGACTTGGTCGAGAAATAATTCAAAGCCCGCAGACGATTCCCAAAAGGCGCAATTTATCTCATGTGAGATATGGATGACTCTTATCTGTCTCTATCACAAATTCCCAGAGGGTTGTAAAAAGCCGAAAGGATCGAATTTAATGTGGGAAGCCATATGCGAAAATATATTCTGTTTTCGGATTGCATTTTTGTTGCATTTATCTAACCCCAGCATTTTGCCCTTATTATTTTTATCTCCGGTTTCTCAAAATATGGTGCTACCAATATAGGCCTATATTTGTTGATTTCCCTTGTGAAAGTGCCTATGACTCACAGTGTATTACGTGCATTTCAGACAATCACCAATAACGTGAAAGCAGACCTAAATGTTAAAGATGTGTAAAGTCGTTGAGTTGTGATTGATTGAGTATATAAGAATATGGTTCATCCACATTCAAAACAAAGAAAGTACAACCATTTTAACGGGTGACATTTACCAAGGAAGTCAGTCCTTAATGATCCAAACCACCACAGAACCAGAGTCGGAATGGCTAATAGTTCCGCTTTTCCCTTACCGGCTTTTAGGATTAGAACAAAATAAGATTGATTGTGCTAGGATACCATCAGACAAGTTTAATGGTGGATAGAAAGTATTTCTGTAATATGCTGTGTTAATTCTTCTGTCTATAATTGAATGAAACTTGAATGAGCGAGGCTGTCTCTAGCAAGTGCCGTCAAACCTAATTTCGAATAACTAAAGGCTTTTCGGAGCACAATAATGTCTACCAATTACCCAGTCTCCATGCTATCGGCTGTAATTACTACCGCTACAGGGTCTCTCGAGATTTTCCCTTTGCGCCTATATACTAAAGCAATGAGACAAAAAATAAACAACCCTGTGTTGAGACTGGCTGTTATCGATAACGTGGAAGTGATCAAAGCTGCTAAAACACACTGCTCAAGTGAAGGACAAGACTCCTATGAATTTTTTTTTCTTTATCGGTCGACATTTTCGCTATACATTGCACTTGATGTTTAGATATCTGACTGTGTCGTGGGATCGAAGAGCCTGACTTATCTCCTACCTTGTGCTATATGTCGTGCTACTGTCAGACCTGGTTACATGTATTTCTGTAGTGATTTTCCCTATTTTCCTTCACCTCAAGAAATTCGACTAGTTCTGGCATGGCGCCCATTTCTTGCCGTGTGTTGTTTTGTTTTGCTAAATAGGCCTTTTGATGCTGTGCATTGTGCTTTTTATAGTCTTCTTTGTTTTCTCTCCGTCGTCTTACTTTTTTCTTTACTTGACATATTATACAAATAAATAAGCAACACAAGAGTACTGTACATGCAAATGTTCCTGCTACGGCTGCGATTATATCGTGAAGGCGAAAATATTTCTCTTCTGATGAGTACATGTACCTCCTGTGGTTTGAAGTTGTGCCCGTTGGCCCATAGGAAATTTTGCTGTCATTTTCATCGGAATTTGGAAAATGATAAGAAGGCTGATCGCGGTCGGCTTTCGTTTCGTGTGGTATATCCACAATGGGAGTTTGTTTGGTGTTAGTGTCGCCATTATGCGAAGTCCTTCGTGTTTGTTTTTCATTACTACTAAAGTCAGGTTCTATTCCTAGCATAGGGTCGTCGATGTCCCCTTTTGATGGGCTGCTATTAGTAGTTGTGCTTATTGTCGTTGATGCTGTTGACGTTGTAGTTACTGTCTTTTCAGGTAATGTCACATTAAAAGTGAAAGTCACGTTTCCAGCCGCGTTGCTAGCAAGACACACAAACGTCTCAGCGTATTTGTCGTTCAAATTAGTCGTCGGTCTAGGTATTTGTAATACTGCTGTATTTGTTGCCATCTTCCTGTCCCCAGGCGGAAAATAAATTAACTTGTCTCCAGACGATTTTATCCAGTACAAAGTCGGTGCAGGGTCACCAGTTGCGATACATTTCAGTGTTCCCTGGTCCTCATCAAATGTTACATCGACGCTGCTAAAGACGGGAGCGTTGCACAAAAAGGCGTCAGCAGGGAGAGTGTCGAAGGTTTTGTCGCGGAGCCTTTCTGGTGACGCGCAGTGCGGGGGACGGGCCCCGCTGAAAACGTTGGGATGTGTATCGAAGAAGTCGGCGAACCACTTCATCTCACAGTTACAGTGTAGAGGGTTGTTTCCCAGCCTGAGGTGTTTCAGTTTTGAGAAATTCACCAAAAGAGCAGGGTTAAGGCTTTCGATGTGATTGCCATCCAGCCACAGGGATTCTAAGCTGTCACTTAGCGGAGAGATGACGGCTACAGAAAGTCGGGTTAGACTACATCGCTGTAGCCTCAGCCCCGTGGTCCGTAAATCTTGAAAAGCGTTGCGTGAGAGCTGAATATCCCGATTGCCATTAAGAAATAGGTGCTCTAAGTTGAGTCCCCTAAAGGCAAAATCTTGAATTATTCGGATACTATTGCGACTCAGGTCTAACCACTTTAATTTCTCTAAATCAATAAATGTATCTACTTCAATGGATTCAATACCGCAGCCGCTCAAATAGAGGTGCTCCAGGTCCACAAAAGATGAGAAATTTCTCCTTTGAATTGTCGTCACCTGAAAGTTGTTGTCATTCAGGTTGATTTGTAATGAGTTGTCCGGAATTCCCGATGGAATGTGTGCCAGGTTTTTTCTAGAGCAATATACAATCCTGCTGTCCTTATTGCAAAAGCATGGATACGGGCAGGTAAAACTCGCCTCCACTTGGAAGAAATTTAAAAAGATAAGAATCCTTAAGAGTCCGAATATTTTAATACAAAGCCGTCGATTCAGCTTCAGCATGGCCATTTTCCTCTTTTGAGCGCAGCAATCTAGTTTAAATGTTAGTCGAGAGGGCAATGAATCGAAATCAAAATACCCCTCGAGTGCTCTCTTCAGGAGTAGTTATCTTTGAGAAGAACCAGCACACTGTGCCTCTCTCACTTGAACGTTGGAGTGTAACGTCAATCCATCTCTCGGCTCTCCAACTCTGACTTTCTCTGTTTAGGGCCTTAATTTATTATCCACTGGAAGCTGCTTACCATATAGCAGATAGAGAGCCCAGCTTGGTCTTAACTTCTTTACGAAATTTCCGTTTCTGAATTGAATTCAGGTGCACAGGTGTCGCCGCTGAGGTAATAACTTTCACTCTAAGCCTACCTGTCCGCCACGGCTAACTCAATGTCCGGCGTCTAATCACGGCATACAGTGGGCAGGGGTGTTTACCTTCTTAATAGAGTATATTCCTTTTTGTCTCCAAAGTCGCTAGACACACTAGGAAATCTGGAAGAGTAATACAAAAGGGACATTTGACTAACTGATCCTGATTACATTCATAAGTCAACCTGCGACTTCTGGCAACTGAGTACACCTATCAATAATGGATTGGCTATTTGCCATCCAATTTTCACAGAATCTTGTGAACACATGTGCAAACTGTGCAGTTTTAGTAACACACAAAACATGTTTTCTTTTACATTTATGGACAGCAAATATTCAACACCCCGATAATAAACCCGTACGTACGATTAGTCAAAAATTAATTGTATGGCCTTAAGCACCTTTAAAAGCGTGTTATGTATTAATTTCAACGCAGATAAACCCTATATAAACTGGGCGATGATCTAAGTAACATGGAACGAAAATAACATTATCTATCACCTATTGAACTCCTATATATACCAACCATCGACGAACACAGGGACTTCCTTTCAGCACGCGATACCGGCCCGGGATATCCGGAACGATTTAAGGCGCATGCAGTCTCAACCCTAAGCCGTCCCCGAGGTAATATGTGCATGTTGTACAGGCTCCTTCATTTATCAACAAAATAGAGACGTCGAGAGGTGTAATTAGTAAGCAAGCCGTGGGTCTCACCTGCGTTCAAGTTGAGTTCAGACCCAGCCGACGCTATTAGTTACACTAATACAAATAAAACGAAGCCAATCTAATCTACAGTAGCAAATGAGGTCTAGATGAAGCAGGGCTCCTTGGAGGAATGTTGAATAGGTTTGTGGATACAAAGGTTGTTGTCGACGGAGAGCCTTTCCTCCTACAGAACTTTACACTGTGATCAGACCGTCTGGGGTAAACATCAAAGGTGGTGGCCAAAAACAACCACGATCATTAATTGCTGTTGGTTCGTCGACCCTTAATTGGTTCATATCTCACCATCTAAACCTCACCTGTGTTAAACGCAGGCAACATCAAGCGTTTCTTTTCTATGCCTGTAGCTTTTACATCTCAGTGCAATGAGTTAAAATTGCACTATCGCCACGATCGATCAGTGTCCTTTGGACAGGAATGGCTTCATTGAAAGATTCTCCGTTTTATAGCCCCGAATCTGTCACGTCGCCCCCTTACCTGGCGTCAGCACAGTCGCAAACAACAACAACGTGAGATAAACACCTACCATAAATATGTCATCTTATTTTTCAAGTCAATAAATTCAAAGGTCCCTTGGAGTTGATTCTTTAGGAGTCTTTTGTCTCTTTAGAAGTTGCTGTCTTTGGTTCTTTGCCACACAGTTTCATCTCCAGTCCTCAAATTACCACGCCATCTTCTTTGCGTATGTACTAGGTGCATGCTCGGTACTTTATGCTAAACATTATTTCTATGCTTCCGTATCGCTAGCAGCAGATTGTCTATTTCTGCCACACAACACACCGGAGAAGCACCACTATAACATCACGGTATGTCAATTTCAGGCTGTGGCCCCGCCAGCCAATCAGCAAGCGCAGCTGCCAGAATAGTGTCCAATCCGATCGATTATTGGTTGAGAGCGTCAGGAAGCATCCTCGATTGAGATCAAATCCAATTTATGAAGACTTGAAAAAAGTACGCTCTATAGATGTAGGAAAAAATAACAGTCCCGCCACCTTTTGACTTTCGTGTGTGTTTACGTTGGTGACATGACACTGCTACAATGGACCCAGCACGCCGTATGGTTATTCAGCCCCAATATACGTCCTCATTCACGTTCCATCCCGATGAACAGGTTTTCTGAATAAGCCACTTTCCATGCTCTAGGGGGTGGGGCCTGCTTCTTCTCTCTATATTTGAAGCGCGTATGTACTACATTGTGTTGCCACTTTAAAAGGTAAAACGCAGATGTACTCACAAAGCAAGCGCGCGGCGAGTTTTGTGAGACAGTTGATATGTGTGAACGGGAAAATAATGATGCTTATTTATTTTACTTGAATGTTTGTTGTAACTGAACGCTTTGCAGTAAACAGGAGTTTATTCAACACGCCGAAGTGGCCCGGTCTTGCCGCTAGTGTTGTGATACATCATTAATCAACCCGGCCTGTCTAAGTTTCCTTTTATTAGAAACCTGTCATTTGATTAAGTTGAAAGCTTTTTAGGAACGTAAAAAGTGGATCAAAGCGTAATGAAATGCCTAGTTACCCAAACATGTCAGTTATTACTTGATATATTTCTTTTCTACCACTCTTTTAGACTGGAAAGACCTTTTCGACAATAAAGGACTCAAGGTGTAAACCTGAAACGCTCAACACCTCCCAAGTCTATTAATTTCCTTCTAAATTTCTATAAAATGAGCTGTATATTCGATATCTGTTGAAATGCACATCGATCTTCAGTAGTACTATAATAGCATGCAGCATGTTTAACTTAAAGTCAACAATAATCCTGTATCTAAAATGAGATTTAGTGTATTTAGATTTATGCATTACCAATGAAGCATTCTTAACCTTTTTACAACCTCCTTTCTTTCTCTTAAATGACTAATGCTCATATCTAATAAATCAAGATATATATTGTGATGCTTACCACATGCACACGTACAGTTTACAACGTAACGCGCATTCCAGGGGGATGCTTATAGAGCAGACATTTAATTCTAACTTTGATATTTGAAACAATGCCTTTTCAATATCCATAAATTTACCATGGATAAAAATACCCTGTTTGTTTAAAACAAGCTAGTTTAAAAATAACATACATCATGTCTTCCCAACACCGCCGCCTCCCCCTCCAAAAAAGTACAAAGAGTCCTGGTCTGTTCAGACGGACCTTAATTTAATTAAAACTTGCACTTTGAATTTTTCAAATCAGTGGTATTAGCTTAACCAGGATGACATTGCCTGTGTGCGCCTGCATCCCGCTGGGATGAAGATCAAGCAGGTATCACGGTCAGTTTTTATTTGAAATTAAACACACATCATCGTATTTTATATCCAGAATTTTCATATGTGGCAGGTTCCAAACAAAACCGGACATCATTCATGGCGTGTCCATCCACTTGACCTTCTTTATTAAGTTTCACCTGTGGCTTGTAATTGAAAGGTGACTGAAAAGACCATTGAAAAATATTTTCATACCTATTGCCGGAAAACTCGACGTCAATATGATTAATGACAAAGTTGAGAAATAAATTTCAGTTTGGAAAATTGCATTTTTTTTTTATTATCAAGGGGTCTGGAGAAATCCCCTTGAACTCGTCACATTCTGAGTCAGGTGTCATTATTAAAAACCAACAGGAGGCGCACGAGAAGCATGCTTAATATTTTGCAGCGTTTTATCGACATTTACGACTCGACTTTTCTAATCTTATCAGTGCTCGTGCGGGGGAATAATTCTCGTGAAAAAAAGTGATTACCATTACGCAATTGCAAAGGGCACGTAGTTCTGGTCGAAATATTGGCAATCATTAATTTCCTTCTAGGATTTGCATAAGAAACTTAAACAGAAGCATGCCGTTGTTGACTCATTCAACAGCCACATTGATGTGTACTAATTACAAGGACAGCTTAACAAGTGATTATAACGTAAAAATTGAGTTCATAGTGTAAGATTGCCGGTTTTTATACGAACGCGAAATCACGATTTGTTGATTAAACAGCATCATACGCATTAAGAGGTCTATTATGAAGCTTTTGTGGGTTTTATAGATGATAATACACAATGCATTGTGATATCAGCAACAACTCTCTGAACTCCTTTCCTCCTCTCATCGACAACCTGGCATATAAAAAAAAAACTGTACCATGCACTGTCAGCATAATCAAATATTAGATATTATATTAGATAATTTTATCCATTATTCTATCCTTTATTTATTCATATTTTTGAGGTGTGCATAATAGAGTAGTGATAGAAGTAGCTTAGACAGCGAACAGTGTTATTTGTAACACTTAAAGCCAAATAAAATTATTATTATTATTATATCTATATTAGCTAAAAACCCAAAATATGAGTCACACTTAAACAGTGGGGACCAGTTTAAAACTGTCCTCCAGTTTGACCCCCATATGCCGTCGATTTAAAGTGTACCGTGTGGCCACTGTTTAGTGTTAACACCAGAGGAATGACCGGATTTTACACCTGTATTCCTGTTCTCTAAGACAACAAAATAATCTTAATTGGAATTATAACAACTGCATAACCCCTCCCCCTTAATCTGCCCAATCTAACGCAACCAGTTTACCAGGTGCGTAATACAGACGAGGTGATGACCACTGCACTATTATTACCCAACCTTAGGACCCTTCAAGAGTCGGGGAGAAAAGATTTGTAATAACAGTGAAAATAGTGGCAATTACCCGTAAGTGCTGAAAACGCTGGAAGAATTCCACGCCCTTCATTACCTGGGGTTATCGCACAGTGGCCTAACTGAGACATAGAGTGAAAAGCAGGCAGGAGACAAATGCCTGTCATCTGTCAAGACCAAGCATCTGCTTTAATCTAATATTGACGCAGCCCAGGGGGGTGTATTTTAAATGGGTTTTACATTATATTGTCACCACTAAGTAAATTATTGCATGATATTCATGGGCGCTAAGGGTTCGGGGTTTTTTGTTTGGGTTAGTATTGTGAGATATAATGAAATAATGGGAGGACTAATGACCACCAAGCAATAACATGCATGTTAATAATCACATTAACCGCAGCTGAAGCGAGAATGAGAATGCATATTATAACCTAAGATCTAATATATCCGTTTATTAGATCTTAGTTATAACATAGCACGTTCCGATCACAATGCATCCATATGTGCACTATCCTGATCGAAACACCACTAACATATGACCCTTCTGGGGTTATTGTAATCTTGTCACGGGGAGAAAAGAAGGATTGTCCTACCTCACAATGCCTCCTTAGACCGCCGAGTTCAACGTGAAAAAGAAAACACACACAGAGATTAGGGTAGCTCTCAACTTTAATGCGATTTGGTAGCATACAATGGAGGGGGAGTAGCAGACCATCCCGTGTACACGCCCTATTTCAACTAAGAATAATTCAGTAAATTCCAAATTCCATTCCGTATTTCTAAATTTATTGCCATCCTCACATTAATTGAGTTACATGAGTTTCGGGGGAAAAACAAGTTTCCACTAGTTGATTTGCATGGATTATTATTATTTTTTTATTGGACTATTAACTGCAACAGAAATAAAACTAAGTGGGTCATAGTAATTTTCATTCTATTGGTCCTGTTCAGGAGAATCTGACACGAAAATGACGAACAGTAATGAGGAAATATGACGAAAATTATTGGCATTAATGCATTAAAAAGGGGCCAAAGTGCCTGTCCCGCAGATAAATCATATTTTGGCATGGGAATATTTACCTGTCGCGATCACCAAGAGTAAGCATAATAAAGGCAGAACTGGCGAATTACAGTTTTTCAACACAAACGTCATTTCACATTAAACGTCAACCCTTGATGTTTAAATTAGAACCTAAATTTAGGCAAGGGTGCAATTTACAGACCATACTTTATACCAAATTATGTTTGATGGGTCCTAGTTTATAGTTAATGTGTATACAGTGTTCTGGGTCCTTGGTTTTTACGAAACAACATAATTGCTCAAATCAGCTTGAGAAAAATATATTGTCTACGACATATAAAAAGATGAAGCTAGGTTATACTCAGTACATCCAGTTAAATCAAAAATAAAACCTCTTCTGATTTCACAGACGCACACACATAGGCTACTATACATGTACCTGTAAAACAATGTACATGTACATAATCTGACCACTGAAACAAAAGAACTGTCGTTTTTCATTTTGCTGTAAATGCATATGAACCATATACGTTTTATTTCAGTGTATATTTATATATCCCAAATAGTTGTAAAAGTTGCATTTATATATAACCTACCTTATTATCATTCTCTTCTCGTGCAACAATTCCTTGATTTGCACCGAGCTTTCTGGTCATTTATTGATTTCTCTTCATTGGAGACGAACTAACGAATGAATATTTGATTGCATTTATATATTTAACCTATTAACAGACGCAGGGCCGCAAGAGGTGAGAAATGTTCATGAATATTTCTTTCAAGTAATAAAAAACACAATCGAGGGAGCACCTTAAGATAACAGGAAAAAACGCAATCATCAGTGGTCACAACTAACACAGCCCCCCCCCCCCGCTAGCCCCTTGTTGCTTTCTATGTAAAATGTACATATATTACCTTTGCTTTTCACCGCAGCGATGATTTATATATAGCTTGCGCACAGATGTGAGCATTCTAAAGATAACTGACACAGTAGCTCTACCTTTGGCCACAGCCTAAACGAAGCGTACTACAATAACAGATTCGTGTATATGAAGGATCAATAACCATGCCTGGTCGTAACGCCATTTTGTAACGGGTGAAAGAAGAACTACTTCGAAGCCACTGGGGTCTCAATGTGTTGAAGGTACTTTTAGGGATGACCCACGAGAAGATGCCGTATGATTACCGTGACCAGGACCACGTATACGCACCGGTTGTGACCAGTCAACCCTTCTATCAGATTGACGGACCGCCCGTCGTGGTTCGAGGAGAGAAAGCGCCAGAGAATGGATTATGCTTGGCACTGTGCGTTTGCTGTTGTTTCAACTGTCCATTTGGAGTTGTTGCACTATGTCTTTCATGTAAGTTTGGACTCGGTTACACATCTGTCTAGCCATGAGGGTTATTTTTTGCAATTCTCTGAAACGTACTAGTTTAGGGTCCTACTTCTAGCGTGATCTTCTTTAAGGCCAGCCCTCTAAATTTTGTGATCTATTGTCCCAAACCGCATAACATTATATTAATATTTTAACAGATCACGTACACGTATTGTATTCTAAAACAAGCCAGGATTTTTTTTTTTGGTTTGAGATGATTTTGAAAGGTTCACGTTGTTTTACATTTTTGGGTGGTAGGGGGAGCTTATTTGAACACAAAAGCTAGATTATGTATGCGTACAATTTCTGTATTCACGCACGTACAATTCCTGAGCAAAAATCGAATGTTTTCCCAGTTTTGAGGTTGACATGGAAAACCTGGCCATTCTGCTATCGATTTTTCCGACAGCCTGATGAAGATGGTAATTACCTATTCAGTGCAACCCATTGTAGATGATATCTGGTTTTCAGAGCTGTACAATTGATCAGAATATTACTGAAAATGTGACCTTGCAGTGGCACACATCTCTTTGTCCAGTATCGAAATACCACGATGAAAGCGGTTCAAAAGCTGGGGTTCATTGTCAGAATCAATTTGATTTTGAACAAAACACAGCGCATCTTTGTCTTTTACATGCACATTAAATACATCTATATGACTATACAGAAAACAAGTGCGTGACGTCATGTCACTCCACGGGATACAAGGGAAGTCGGTATTGATAAAAATAAGCATTATATACGCCTTTCGCTTCTGCTGTTATCGAAATAGCCATCCTACACTTTAAATCTAATTTTTGTCTCTGATACACTATGTGATATGTCTATTTTTCTGTGTATTTTTTACCTACAGATTTGTCTAGTATGGAATTCAAACTTGGCAGCGTGGACAAGGCCAAGATGTACGGCAAGATGTCTTTGGCCATGAGCATTACTGGGATTATAGTGTTGGCTGTCACAGCCATCCTCGTGTCGTCAGTGTGGGGGTTTTGTTCCTGGATTGTGGAGATGAGATGCCCGGGACTGATTAGATTTGCGTATGTTCAAAATGAGACTGTTGACAGCTGCCCTGCGCTGTATTCATTCGCAAATCAACACTGCTATCGGTACCACTGAGCGTCCCCCCATAGTTAAGACATTGCTAGTCCCAAACGTTATGTGCGAAAAGGACTTAATACAGGTGCTTATAATTATTTCAGAAAGTCAAGCGAAGAAATGAAAAGCGGACTAATGTTTAACATCTGAAAATGAAACTAACCGAAAACAAAACTTCATAATTATCTTTGTCAATTTATACATACACTTAAAGTTCTCATAACCATGGGAATTGGAAAGTCAGTTTGAGAACCGTTTACTGATTCCTTGGAATCATTGTATGATTTTTGTGCCTTTTTTTCCGGCGTCAAAAATGCTAAATTATGAGGTTCATTGACATTGTAAAAAAAAGGAAAAGCCGGAAAAAGAGCAGAGTGCCCGATGGAAAAGTCTTCGACACATCATATGATGGGTCCAATGAGCAATGTTTCATCACCATAATGAAATAGACGTTAAAATATCAAATCCAATTTCAATTCTTTTGAAAAATTTTCGGAATGTGTCTTATATTTTTATTTTAGAATTCAGTCACATTTATTTATACATCAGTAAAGTCATTAGTTATTATTTTAGACAAATGTAAAAGTGTAATTATATGATTTTAATCCCGTATTAGATGACATATGCTTCGGTCGCTTTACCTGTTTACAGATGTAAGGCAATTGTAAATAACAGATGTGTAGGCCTATACGTTATTAAAAACCTATCCGACTAAGTTGTTAAATGTTATATACTTTTACTCACGGCATGTAAATAAAATAAGTTGCACTTAAAAATTGTACATATGGCAGTATTACATGTGCGTCTCTTAAGTGAAAAACGTGAGTTGTGTAATAGTTCGTAGATGGAAAAAAATACACAAAGAGTCATTTCACTCATCAATATTAGATATATCATCAATATGTGATATAACGTGTCTTCATTAACGATTGTGTTAATCTGCGCGTACAGGATTCAAACGGTTTTCACACCTTCATGTAGGCTGAGCAATATGCACCGTCTTAATTCAGACACACGTTAAGAATAGGAATCAATATAGGATATGGAAGTCCATAAGTTGGACCTAAGGTGGACCTGCTATAAAGAAATTAACCGGACAATGACCCTATTGATCGACGGACAACAGGCGCGCATCCGAGATGCACAGCAACACCGAGAATATTGTCTGTATACACAAGACCGGCGAGAAACTTAACGGCATTTTGTGAACGTAATTTAGAAAAAAAAAAAAAAAACAAGTAACACTTTTGTACTCTTAGTTATTATTATTTCAAAAGCAATGATAAATAGATGAAACATACATCTATACTTCTTTGCTGTACAACTCCATAGAAATGGTAAAGAGAATGAAATCATTTCAGTAAACGTGTAGATATAGGGTTCATTTGAATTCTCTTTTACCTTACTAGATAATTCATTTGGTCCTTTTGAAAATGCCCCAAAGTCATATTCTTATGTCCATTTTTCTCCAAAGACTCTTATCTATCCTTACGACGATAAAATTGCTCAAATAAATATTATGTTAGTCCAAAAGAATCATGGTTCATAATTAGTTTAAAGCTAAACCATGTTATTATAAATGAAACAAAACATCGAATCCAAAAACAGGGACGGTTCGAGCAATGATACGCGTCTAGGAGAGAATTGCTTTTTCCCCGAGGGAAATGAGATCTGGCGCGAAAACCCATTATAGAATACCATTAAAGTGACTGATATACAGTTTTTGTCAAATAAAAATGGATTCAAAGTCTTCTAATTCGACTCACACATTTCAATTGACGATCTAGAGGTAATATAGCTATAGAATATCAGCAGAAACGGTTAAGATACTCGTGCAGATCCATCAAATATGCATGATCGCTTGCACCATTAAAAATATTAAAATGTGTGTTGTAAAGTTTTATTTTGCAGAATTAAAAAATCTATTTCAGTGTTATGGCGATCAGCCTTAGAAGCGTGATCATGTACACACACATTGTACGCTTGGTGTTTGATCGATTGCTTATCGATCCCATGGGGCTAATCAATCAAATGATGCGATAAGCAAGTATAGTAGTTAGTTACTAAGGCCAGCCAAAGCGTCTTGGGACACAACAGGTTCGAGTATCGGTGAGTCAAACGGCTAAATTATCTAACCTTAAAGTCGTAAAAAGTTATATTATCCTCTCAGATAAGCCTCTTCTGAAACAAAGTCAATAATATTCAAACTTTGGTGAAGCAATTGTGACCATTTTATTGGATGTAAGTATCAGAGACTTTGATATACCTACAAATAATGATTCGGGCGTTGTTAGTGTGTACCGTAGTTGCTACCTCGGAACGGTTTGGTGCAACTCCTAGTAACTTAGCTTGAAAACATTTTGGTGTCTCGCTCAAAGTAAGATTGTAAAGTAAATCAAGTTTGCAGAACTCAAGGTAAGGTGTCAAAAGGTAGACCTTAAGTCAGAGCAAATTTAGTATATCTTTATCTATTGAAATCGTTATAAGATGAGGATCTGTTTATACGAGCTGTGAACATTCATTGCTGCTGGTGTAGACTGTAGCCAGTAAGGATGCTATGAGTTTGTAATGAATATAGTCAAATGTAGCCTAAACAGAACAAAATATGCAATTGTAAAAAGATGTTGAGGAACTTAAGTCTGCTACTTAATTGCCATGATTGGTTGAAATATCTTCATTCTCCTCAACACCGTTTCACCCTCAGTAGCTCCCTGCGCCAGAGGTCACACACTCTGCACCACATTTGTTCCTGGCCCTGGTAAAATGCTGTAGTTTACATCTGCTAGTCGACACTAGATTAATCCAAGCATCATACTGGAAATGTCAGAAAATAAAAAAATTAATAAATAAACTTAAAGTTTTTACAGCAAAACTATTGAATTTTCTAACTTATATCTCAATGCCTATTTGGTTTTCTAAGTTTTATTCCTACTCCTAGCTCACTCCTAGGCTATTCCTAGGCTGACCTACACCTTAGCCTGATCTAACTTACACACGTAACCTACTCCAGGCGTCTTCGTGTCTGTCGGCGTAGAAGAAGGCTTCGTAACCAAATAGGTGCGCTACCCATTGCGCCACCGACGAGGACACGATGACAGATGCATTTCTTGGCGTATTTACCTGTACTCTTTACCTTGAAATTAAAACACTCGTTAAAAAAAGGAATCTACGTGTCCAACGTAGAAATTGAACCGGACTGTCTAAGTTTGGGAACCCGACGTCCTTACCAATGCGCCATCACCGATGTCATGCGAAGCCGACCACCCCCCCCCCCCCCCCCCCCCCCCCGTGGAATTCGGGGGCCGCTTAAGGGCCCCGAAAAGAATTGGTATTTTAGAGGGCGAACGGTGGTTTAGAACTATGATTCATCTAGTCAAAATTATAATTTCAAGCGGGGACCATTTGTGTGATTTTTCTCAGAAATCGAAGGGGGGGGGGGGGGGGTCAGGACCCCCGCAACCCCCCCCCCCTCTAAATCCGTTTTTTACCTGTGAGGCATATGACGTTTCGATCTTTCATCAAAAATTAGCGCTACATGTTTATAGTAGATCATCATGATAACTTATTTGATTTGATCCTCCATCGAAGGGCCTTGATCACTATAATCACTATCATATGGCTTTGATTGAGCTGATTGCACTTAACGTGAGTCCCCGCAAAGATGGGACGATCTAAGTAGACCGATGGTGTCTATGGGAATATGGGTCTTAAATTGGTAGGTGTAATTTTTGCATATTTCCACTGCTAATAGGCCCAATAAGGCTACTAAGAAAATGTATTTCCGTCATTATGTCGCAGATTACACCAAACGTAAGAATAATCTCCTGTGAAAATGGTTGTACATATTTGGCCTAGTTCTATATACATGTAAATCCCGTTTATCTCAAATTCCAAGAAGCACAGTAGCATTTTGAGAATTTGAGAAGTACTAAACGACCTTTGAATGTGACTGCTTATTTCCACCTCTCTGGTCACTGGGAAAATTAGTTGCTGTTATTTTGTTGAAGGTGAGAACTTTTGAAATACACTAGAAGAAAAAATGATCTTCTATGAAAAATGGATATTTATCGGACTACATATGTATGTAAAGAATCTCATAGGCTAAATCTTCAATCCGAAGGCGCATAAGCTATGCTGTGAAGCACTAAAAGACCCTTCAATGACGAACGGGATTATACTAAATAAATATAGTAACAGAACTTATAGATAGGTCTAGAATATTAAAGCCCTAAAACCACACGGAATTAGTCTCCCCTGGATATACGTGTAGATAAAGAGCAATACATAATAGGATACAGTTATAGCCTAAGTATTGTGCTAGTTTAAAGCCTGCTTTGCCGTTCTCTGAAAAGTGATGAGAAAAACCACTCCTAAGGCGGAGGAGAGGGAGGGAAATTTTGCTTCGGGGAGTGGGGGTGGGGAGCAATCAATTTTGAAGTTCACGGTCGAAATCCAATGCGTTCAGCCCTGATAGAAAGCCGATTCTTTTTAAATTATGGACAAGTATGATGTTTCCATATCTATTATTCTAAAGGCTTAATTAAAGCTATAAGTGTTGTTAAAATATATTTTAGAGTACCGGGTAGGAAGAGAAAATTTTATTAAAATCTACTAGAAAATTTCTATTAGAATATCTATTCCATTACTGACGTTACATTTGAAACACAGAAACACAATTTCTTGGAAGAATCACAAGTAGGACCTACAAGTACTGGGTAGGCCTACAGCGTGAATTTCACCTTGTCTATTTATTTTAAACATTGTATCAAAACGTAATTCCTAAATCTGAATTTTTTTAATACCGAGGAAGTTTTATTCTGATAGATCTAGCATATCGAAGATATCAATAACAATTACAAAACTTCTTTTGCTTGCATTAAAAAGAAAAGTTTGTTAGAAGACTCAAACGAAACAATCGATATAGCAATGGATGAATGGATCATGCATGCTATTTTAAAGCTCTTGTTGAATAGAGTTCCCGCGTTTATAAGCGTGTTGATAAGTTCCTTAATTGGGTCTGCACCTAGAAACGCACGTTTAGAAAGATTTCAAATAATCATGTGGTGTACTGTCACCTACTGCACGGAAGACTTTCACCTACTGCACATAAGCTTAAAGGAGTGATCTGCAGTTGTGAGTGTTAAAAATAAAGTCCGGAAGTACACTCTTTTACATAGAAGATACGAAACTTCAACGTAGCAACAAACCTCTTCACTTTGCGGAATAATAATGCCTAGGATTAAATAATAGTTAGGTGGAAACACCAATAATCAATGCATACATTTATTAAATATCAAATAAAATAATGCATTTTATGCATTTGAAGTTTCTTTCGACTATTTAAGAAAGTCGAGCAGGTGCTTCAGAGGATTATTCTTTAGGGGACATGTACACCGTTGTTTTGGTGGGCTGTTATAAGGTTCATTTGACTTGGTCCATCTGATTTAGTAGACGTGCCAGGTTATCAAATAGTCAAAATGAGTGAAGCCACTTCCTATAGGTTTGAGGTCAATACAGAGAATAAGAGTTTACAGAAAGCTCTTCAGAGACAGCAGGAAAGAATCAAGGTGGGTTATGGCAAAGATAGATTTGAACGTCCACTCCGGTTGCACCGAGATACTGTACATGTAGATACTGCACCACTAATGCTATTAAGTGGCTATGTAATGTGCTAAGTGTCAGTGCCATTGTAATTAATGTTAAGCTAAGACCAAAAGATTATCCCAAAGCACTTCTTCTATTTACGCTTCTTTTTAAAATATTGACTGCTGTACCAGAGTCTGAAGTTGTAGGTTAGGTTACTAGTAGGTTAAGATGGCAATGAAGTTCAGTTCCTGCCATTAAAAGTATATTTTCCCCTTTGCCTCTTAACACTGCTGATAAACCAAGGGTTTTTGTTAATGTCTGAGAAAATCAGCCCACTTATCAATGAAATATGTGTGGTATAATCATCCCTTAAGTTACATCCTGGCATCCAGTAATCAGGGCAGTTTCGAGAATGCACCATAGCATCTTTGTTTTCACATTTTGAAAAAAATATTCGTTTTTTAAAATTTTTGAACCATGGTTTTCTTTAAGAAGCATTACATCACATTATTTCAATGGATTTCTCCTGTGGCTTGCTAAAATGTTGTTACCTCTATTGTAGAATGATGAACTAATGGCAGCACGAGAAAAGACTGTGAAATTGTAAGTATTTAAGTATTCTTTTAAATAAAATTTATCTTCTTTGTTTCTTTACTTTCCACATACACTGACAATGCATGATAATCAGTGGAGGGTCATGTTATTTATGATGGTATTCAGTCACATCAGTACATAGGAGCCATGCTGATAATTTATTTTAATCATGTACCAGTTTTTAGTAATTATGGTACATGTACCACAATGTAAAATACCATAGTAAATGTCATCAAGCAATATAAATGGCACTTGATTTAAAAAATCATATATATGTATATAATTAACAGTTTATTATTCACATAGGGAGAGTGAGGTGAACCAGAGAGCAGACTGGGATGAAGGTTTGGAAGCTGCCAGTGAAAGGAAAAGAATAAAACACAGCATAGAGAGCATGCAGGGAGAGCTCCTTCTGGCACACAAAGCTACAATAAGTGTAAGATAGCAGGAGCAAACAACTTGCTAGAATATTAGTGACAATCTTGCCACAGCTTTTTTGAAAGCTTTAATCACTTAAAAAAAAAAAAATTATATATATATATATATATATATATATATTTTTTTTTTTTCATATTTTTCATATTTTCTAAAGGCACACTGGTTACTAGTTCCTTTAACAGAAAAATGCTCATTCAGCATTTGGTAATCTGGTTATTTTGGTTTTATTTCAGGTGAGAAGAGAGGCATTAAAACAACAACTGAAAAAAGACTATGAACAATATCAACATGAACTGAATATGATGGGTAAAACATTCTATGTGCAAAGAATTTAGTGAATTCTTATGTTTGGGAAGAAACTATCAAAATTGGAAAACTTTTATCTATAATGAAAAACAAAGTATAAAAAATGTGAAAAAGAGGATAGGAGAACATCAGGCCACTCAAGGATAAAGCTGTGTGGATTTATGCAGTATTCAACTGGATTTCCTGACGATAAAATACTTTTGGAAAATCTAAGAACTATCATACTTCATTTCTGCATCAGGCTATACATTTTATGTAAATAGTTTTCTTCATTTTTCTAAATGTCATTAAATTAAAAAAATGTAATTAAATGAAACCATAGCAAGCCATTTGTTGTCAGTGGTGAATAAGTTTTAAAATAAACTGATATGCACATCACATTTTCAGTTTATTCTTAGGGGATAATCTTTACACGAATAAGTCACCCTCGGAAAATATGTTCCAATGTAGCATACTTCTATTAAAGGATGGAATTGACCCTGTCAGTAAAACTTATTATAAAATGCGTTTAAAAAGGAATAATCCAAATAAGGAATTTATTTCACTATGAAAAAGGCACTAGAGGATTAGAATGTTGCAAAAAAGCAAAGAAACTTCAATACACAGTGAGCATGCTGATTGCGTTTATTATCAAGTGGTGCCATAATGATACAATTGCTCTTTAAAAGCCTTAAGCAAATCACAAAAACTGGGAAGTAATAAAACCCTGGAAGTAATTTGGTAAGAACAAACAAACAAACAAACAAACAAACAAAAAAGGAATATATTTCAAAAGAATATTCATCAAAATGTAGGTAAACTAAGATAATGGGTAATGCTAACAATAGAGACTGGAATGTTTTTTTATTTACTAAACTACAAATTTCCTCACTTTCACTGCCACTGAGGGAAAAGGTTAACTACCTTCTTTCTATGTATATTGCGTTATACATATCAATGTCATAATGGTAAAAACTTAAGATAATTTATCTAAAAAATTTGCATTATCCTCAGTGATATTTACAAAAGTCAAAACATCTCAGCTACCTTACAATAAAATAAAAGTTTGTGCACAAATAAAATAATTAAGCAATATAAACACTTCACAAGGCTAGCATAAAAAATAATACATAGAAATGTACAAATACTTGCAGATTGTGGAAACATGATCCACTTATATTGCCATAAAAGTATAATGTTCTTCAGCTGGTAAAACAATAATTCCTACAACAGGAAAGAGAGATATTGCAAATCTGACAGATAATACATTATTTGCATTTTTCTATCATCAATTCAATCTTGCTCATAAAATCTTAATCAACTTTTTTCATCGATTAATGTCTAAATTAGTCACCATCAGTACAATGATGAAACACTACCTAAATATTACATCCAGGGGTTAAAATATCATTCATTTTTTAATAAAATAACGAATCATCAGCTAACATTTATTTCTTAAACCTAAATTTACTAAATATTTGTGCTTCATAAGTTTATCTGGGTGATCTTTGAAATATAAAGCTTCGGACAATATAGAGTTTTGGACGTGTCTCTTATCACCTTAATACAACAGTTTCTCTTCATCTATTTTGAGCAATTTTATTTAGTATCTAATTCACATGTCAACTTCAACGACCTTGGCAAAAAGCAGCAAGCAATGGCACAGCCGCCATTCAGGGTTGATTAACATAACAACATAAGAAATTAAAACAAAAAATATACCTAAATCGACAAATTTTCAACTTTCATTATGTAATTTATTCATAGAAAAAAATCACAGCAAATTCCTATCACATCTATACAGAAGGCTGTCCAAAATGAATTTAAAAAATATAATTATCAAAGGTACTTGTGAGGTTAGTGGTGAATGTCCACTTTGGCATCTTGTTCAGGAATTCTACAAGCTCTTTGGTCTCTCTGTACTTCTCATGTACATGATGGGCTGCTATGGCTATATCAATAAATCCTTTGTCAGCAGGATGGTCAGCTGTTATCTAAGGTATAGACAAAAAAACTTTAATCAGCTGAACATCAAAATATGTGGTGAAATTCACCTAAGAAATAAAAATTTTCATTATGTTAATCATTGCCGTCTTTTACGGATGCTGTGAGTGTGTGCATGTGTGTGTGTGTATGTGTGTTAGAGTATACAGTTGTGTACATGAGGAACATACTAGTAAAGAAAGTAAATTTGAGTAACCCACTGCACTTCATAATATATAACAAATATAACCTAGCACAGCAGCACAGTATATTTACCTCCAGTTCAATCCAGAACTGGTATGGCTTCTTTGGTTTAGTTCCATATGAGTAAAACACAAAGTAGTGGTCTCCCTCTGCTTCTGGAGGCATGGAGCATGGCAGTGGATTACCATCACCCATGGACCACTTGACCAGGTGGGACCATGGTTTAGGTTGGAAAAATATGGTCATATGATCTGGACCTATGACAAAATAAAACAATTGATTAACCAAAAACCGTTAGGACTATATGCCTATGTCTTTTATGTTTCACTGTACATAGACAAGCTTTATTTACAAACATTATAAACAAATGCTAATAAGGTTTTTTTTTTATTTTTTCGTTTGAAAGTATACAAGGTCCTATGAAAAATTAAAATGTATAAATGTATTGCAAGATAAAATTCTTACATCTGAAATGTACAATTCTACTGGGCTATATACTTTAAAACACGCCATCATATTTTTTCCATTAGGTGGGACAAGACAATAAAATTTAAGACATAGAATAAGGATTTGTCAATTAATCCAATCTTTTGATTTTCTTTTTAGATAGACTGTACTGATATTCAAAAGCACTTTGCACTCTCAGTACTAGAACTACTAAATTAAATATAAGAAAATTATTGATGAATTAATGTCTCAATTATACCATAACTCTTTCACACATCTCCACCTGCCAGAGACACTCATTTTTGTCTTACCTTCAATTTGAAATGTTAACATCTGCTTGGAGTCACTAAGGTCTTCTCTGGACACCAGCTTAATTTGTCCCCTGGGTGTGTCTTTTAGCTCACCAGAAGGAATGTAGTAGGTTTGCCTAATATAAACATAAAGCATTTTTGTGTAACAGCTAAAATTCTGCAAATGAAATAACGAAATTGAAACCAAACATTTTGAAATATTCATCTTCAAATTACATCTGAAAAAAAAAAAAAAATTGAAATAAATTTCGAAAGATTCCACAAACACCTCTCACAAAGGAGATGCACAACTCCTTAAAGAGAACCAGCTGGTTTAAAAAAGTGTGTCTTTTGCTAAATTTTTTCTTTTTGTTTTTTACAGAAACGACACATAAAGCTGCAAATAAATATTTCTAAATTTATCCAAAATTTGACAGCTCTTTATAAAATCTTTCAAGTAAAATCTGAAGCATGCTTACTTCATGAGTGTAAGCATGGGATAATAGTAAGGCCAACCACAGTATGGACCCTTGCACTCTGCCACAATGCCTTCTTCCAACCTGGGTATCTTGCGTTGCCATGACGACAGGGTGCCAGGTTGATCAAATGGAATGTACCATAACCCTGAGTCTTTTGTTGAAAGATTTCCTGAGACAGTGTGAAATCTACGCTCTATATGCTGAAATCAAAAATTTGAAATTTTAATAGCAATATCATTAGATGACATATCATGTAATTACATGATCAAAACAGTGTAGCATGGGTTGTTTTACTCCAAACTGTAAAAATTCAGGAGTAAAATTATTACACTAGATAAATTAATCAAAATTTTTCAATAAGCGTAACAATTGTTGTACTTTTACATGGTTCCTTCTAATAAATCTTTTCCTTATCATAATAAATTGTAGTGCTTGATTTTTGGATCATTTCATCAGTGCAGTGACAAATAATCATTACTTACGTGCAAAACACTCTTTTGTGGAGTGAGCTCTTGATATGGGAAACCAAAGGGAGTAAAAATGACAAGGAGCAAAGCTATCACAGACATGCTTGTCAGGAGGGACAATATCTTACGAACAGAATGTGTTGTGTAAACCAGTCCAAGCTATAAAATAATAATAATAATAATAAATCATTAGGCAATGCAGACAGGGTGTTGCTTTTTACAAATGAATCGAAACAGGACTGACATTTCAGTGCTGTCATATGAAGTAAGGCTTACTAGCCACAGCCCTTTGGGGTTCTTGAAACACTTCCACAAAAATGGCCCCCATTTGCTAACAGAATAAATCAGTGACAGTAGTTTAACCCCCTTTTTAGAGTTTGGGTCCTTTATAATTCCCCATGTGTAAGTGAATATACAATTACTATTTCAAATTCAGACATTCCAAATCAACGTTTTTCTTTCTACAGTCAAATGAAATAAGTTGCGTGTTGCATTCGGAAAAGACTAAATTCGCTCCATATCGAAACTGCTCAAATGACCTACCTGAAATAACATGCACACTATCACAGCAAACACACTCATCCCAGCAACTGCCACGTCTGGGTACACCTCGGTTCCTATCCGCCCCAGGACTGGCACAAACATCTCAAATAACCCATACAGCCCGTACAGTGACATTAGGTTTGGAAACAGAATAGCCACAAAGTGGAGCAGCATAAAACCAGCCAAGTTACCTTAAAAATGAATATAAAATAACAATAACAATTTTGAAATCAGAAGGGAATCCATGACTACATTAAAGTTAATGACTGTTGATGGTAGATTGTCTAAAAGGCAGATATTAATTATTTATAAATGTACCTATTCACCATTAGATATGCATGTTTTTTCCACAATACCCTGACTTGTTTAACTCTACCTTTGGCAGTAATCTTCATAAACTTGGCTAGGTAGCCCCTTATAAGAATAGGTAGCAGTGTCCATAACAGGGCAAAGTAGGCTGACCCAAGGCCATTGTAAGTTAGAATGATAAGGAACATGGTCCACACACTAAGACTGGCATCAAAGAATACATCCTCCAACTCCCACTCATCTTGTTGGTCCTTCAGAAAATAAACAGAAAATTATTCTGTAAACTACATATTCGATTTAAGGTTCAAGAAATGTTTATCATACTTCTAAAAATTAGGGTTTTTTGGATATGAAATTGTTTAGTTCCCTGTAATCTGTAGAAAAAAGTTAGTGTAAAAAGAAATATTTGCAACATAATAATACCAAAAACACATATGATAGCTATTTCAATGTAAAACAAGTTACAGTGAGCGAAAAACCTAAAAGACACTGTTACCTCAAATATCAGAGTCTTGAAGTATGCATGAAGAGCAATGGAGACAGCTACAGCAGGACAGACATATAACCCCACCACCCAGAGGTGATTTCCATACCAGGCCATGGTGCACTGAGTTGCCATTAGCAACCCAGCTACACCAATCACAGTGCATACAGCTGCAGCCCAGGACATGAGAATGCACAGCAGAGCTTTCACCAGTGTTGTTACATAAAAGAGGCCATGCAGATCTAAAAGAAAATGAATAATAACAATATTTCAGTTTTCACATTTTTGGAATTTTTCATAGTAGTTCATACATTTTCCACTAAGAATAATCTGCAGGTAGCTATCTTACGTGAAATTCAAGTTGCAATTCAGGTCCGCAGATCACTTTAATTTTTTTCATTGATAGAAATTTACAGCCAATAAATTTGCTTTATTACTTATCAATCAAATGTCTATCACAATGATAAAACAGTTTATGTTTACATATTGACAGGCAGTTTAACTGTAATCACTGCAACAGTAAAAAGAAAAGAAAAAACAATATGAAAACATACATCAAACTCCGAGAAGTGTCTTACATACAGACTTACTTTTGCTGCTTTCTGAAGCAACTTTCTTTCCAATCCTCCAAAATACTAACAAAACAGTAAACAAGTTCAGAATTTCCCCCAGCCTTTCTGGATAGGATATCATAAATGTTCCTACAACGTCAAAGAACACCATGTTTCCATGGCGATAGTCACCAGGGTGTTCAAGGTAAGGAGAGGCCAACAGAGTCTGGATGGTTTTCAAAACATTTTCTCCTAGAATAAAAAAAACAGAATTATTAAAAGAAAAAGGAATTATTATTAATTTTCCCTAGTTCAGGATAAATTTGGCCCAAAGTATTTATTTGGCTAATATCTTCATCTATTTGTTTAAAAATGAAGCTCTCGTTACCATACTCAAATTCAACTAAATTTATTTACATCACAGTTTAAAACATTAAAAAATAATAAATGAATGTAAACAAATAAAATATAATAAGATAAAGAAGTGTCCGCTTACCACCTCTCTGCATACACCCTGGAGGCACTTTGTCTGGAGTGTCATGCATTGTATGGTATACATACCCATTAGATATGTAGGCTATATCAATACCTGAAATAACATTGTAATAATGACAAATACAGAAATAATCTAATATGGATAAAAGATATGCTTTACTAGTAAAACTGATACTAATCTGATTACTTAAACTTGAAAAGACAGCATATGGAAATTTCTATTTTCAAAAAACTACTTGAATTTTTTTTTTTTTTTTTGCAAAGCAGTAGTAATGGATTGTTACCTGGTATGTGTGCATAGTCCCTGTAGATTCTGAAGTCAGTATCAGATGGGATGATGCCACTTTGAAATACCTCCTGTCCCACAACAGAGGCATATGGGTGATCAGCTGCAGAGGCATAAGCTTGGATCAACCAGGGGTGCTCTGGACCTGGAGAAGACAAATACAGTGTTTTGCGAAATAATACTTGTGGATTCTTGATTCATGGTATTTATCAGTCTACATCTTAAAATAGTTTTATGCATGCTACAAATTTGACCTTTGTGTACACATTAGTAATTGAAATCAGCATAAAACCTGCACTTATAACACAATCAAAGGACTCATTATCATAATCATTGGGGAAAAAATCCTGTAGCCTATCTTCATATGATTACCTGTCTGGAATACCAGTTCTCTTCCACCAGCCCCTGCTGCCTCCAAGTTGACAAATGCCTTGATACTACTGGCCCATGGATGCTGAGTTATAAATCCATGTGCAGCCTGAAATGGTATTCAAAAATACAATACTGAAATGGAAACTCTTAGATGAGCAACAACCACTGCATTGGAAATATCCTCAGGACTGTACATTATCTAGCACTTGGGGTTTTATTCTATCATTACAATCATAAAATTATGTACCACACTGTTAATATTGCCAATGTATGCCTCTTCTACACTGCATTCACAAAAGATGCTTAGGCACATGAAAGCATTCAGTAAACTAACTAATTTAATCAAGTTAAATTTTCTAAGCAAATCAACTATTGGATCAACCAAAAGAATGTTGAGAGACACACACCTGCAGAACATTTTCTTCAGCTCCATTGAAGTTGAAAATCAGACTGTGCGGCAGTGACTCATCCTGCTGAGTTAAGACTTGCAGGATTTCTAACATCACACAACAACTTACTGCATCATCACTGGCACCTGTATAAGAACATTTAGCTTCCAATTATGAATAAAACTGTTTTACATATTCACTAAGTCTTTTCATATACAAACTTCACATTTCAAATATTTTTACATTACCTTTTTTAATGCTATCTGACAAAGCAAGGCTTATAAGATAGATATTTTCCATACCTGATAAAAATACACACTTAACACGCTTACCCTTTTACACACACATTTTTACAGATAGATTAGTTTGAACAATATTATTTTGAAATAGGTCAAATTATGACAATAAATATCTCACCAGGAAAATCCACTGGCACATCATAAAAGTTGCATGAGCAATATTGTTATTCAAGAGTTTGTTTGGAGACAGGAAACAATTTCTATTGAATTTTTCACGAGAAGAAGTCTGTTCCTCTCTTGAGAGCATTTGCACACATATAAAAAATCTTGAATAAGAGTACATACTGACACTAGAATTTTGTGCAACAAAATGCACTGAAAGTGAAACTGAAAACTAGACAGGTTCTCAATCAAACACACATTACCTGGACTCCCAATAGCTGTATCATAATGGCAATTTACTAAAAGGCTTGTACCAGTGTCTTCATGAGGCCCCATTTTGACCAAAATATTATTTACATTTTCATATACACTTGTAAAATGGCCAAGAAATTCAAGAGTGAAAGTCCCTGAGACTGTTTGAACGTCAACATCAAATTTGTGCGCTGGTTTTGCATTGCTCTTTATCTGGTTCAGTTGTTCTGTGAGGTATTTTACGCTGTGGACTTCATTTGCTTGACTTCCCACCGATCTCTGACCAAAACTTGTAAGTTTTAAAAGATGCTCCCTAGCTCTTTCTTCGACAAATTCTCCGGGTTTGGCAGTTCTCAAGAATTTCGGTTCTGGATAACTATTGTCAGCAAGGTGTATAAAGCTAAACAGTACAAAATTCAAGGCAAATACAATAACCCAGACGTACTCCGGAAGTAAAGGCGCCCTTATAGGTCTTTCGTTTCTTTTTTCATACACCCATTCATCAACAATTTTTGGTGCTTTCTTTGAGGCGGGAACTCTTTTCCTCATGGAGGAATCCATCTTGGGCTGTAACGCACATAATGAATTGATATAATCAATAATATTGACTTTTTGATTTATCCAAACAAAACAGAAAAAAAGTGGAATTAATTTAAATAAAGTATTTAATATTTCTCCAATTCTACAAAGTACAAATTCATTATTTTTGCTAAGAAAAAGAATTCCACATTCTGCTGCGGGCTACTAAAGCTCTCGCGAGAAATAGATCGGCAACGAGAAGTCGGTAATCCAAGATGTCCCGACGAAGCAGTGGAGGAGGTGGAGATGGGGATTGGATGTGTCCTGATCCAAAGTACGTCATTATTCTTGTGTTTTATATTGTTGACCTGGAGCAAAACATTTACGTATTGCATGCTTGAGATTAATAGGATTGCAAACTTTGTATAGTTGTAATTTATTCGAACTTACCGGGGCCCCAAAACTTGGCAATGAAACAACAGAAACATTGCTACAGGTAAAACACAAGACAGACTCAGACTATAAACAAAATTGTTGCGTTTTCCAGTGCAAGCTCATTTTTTATTGTATGAGTGGGTTCTGAGAATGCCATGTTTTTGGACATTTATGGTAGAAGAAGTGTAAAAGAATTTTTTTTCAATTTAAAAGGGTTTTCAATGTTTAGCTAGTTCTAAGATTGAGGGGGTTTGTAGAACATGCACTTACTCGGTAATAAAAATGAAAATGAAGAGGCTCATTCTATAACCATTTCAGTGCAGAAAACTTTCAACATGTTCCCAGATACAAAACAATTGTCATTGAAAACATTAATGTCTGAGATCTACAATTATCTAATTGTGTGGTTTTAGGTGTGGTAATGTTAATTTTGCAAGACGATCCCAGTGCAACAGATGTGGAAAAGGTAAAGCAGATAAATCACATTGAAATTTGAATTGATGCTATTATTTTATTTGAAATATTTCAAAATATTTGCAACATAAGCAATGTCATTTTTATATATATTTCATCATGTATTTATTTGCATAATTTGCAATATTGAATAGTCAAATTCACGTGGATGTGGAAATATTCTTGTTGTTATGTACAGCTAATTTGTTTTATATAAATTCAGTGGGTTGATATAGTTTTTTTACATTTAATATTTATTTCTAGAAACCCCTCACATTTTACGTATTTGCTGTTTTGTTTTTGTGCATTGTAAAATTTTTAATATTTTTTTCATGAAAGTTTGCTGTTATTTCATTCCAGACAAACAAGAAATGACCAGCATTAAGAAGGGTGGAATAGAAATTGGAAAGAATTTAGCAGAGAAGAGCAAAGGCTTGTTTAGTGCTGATGATTGGCAGTGTAAACAGTTCGTAGCTTTTCATATTTATGATGTAATAACTTAAATTCTCCAGTTTTTTAATCATTATTGTGAATTTGAAAATAATATATAATTATACTGTTTATAATTTTTCCCATTTAGGTGAGAGTCATTAGAGTTTTCAAAATTGGAAGCATCATGTTTTTTTTTTTAATTATCTGTTAACTTAACAAATCCTGAAAGTATTTTCTGCCTTTGTTTTTTAATAGTTTTTTTGAAAATCTAAAATGCTTTGTAAATTGCCAGATGTGGAAATGTAAATTGGGCGAGGAGAAGTCACTGCAACCTGTGCAACCAACCCAAAATTGGGAAAGTGGAAGAGAGAACAGGTGAGAAATATAAAGTACTGTGTAAGGGTCACACAGACTAGCCTTTCTCTGAGGAAATTCTTATTTGCAATGTTCAGGGTTAAGTTTCAGGTTATAATTTTTTCTTAAATTTTCATTTTAAGTGTCATATTCCTTCCAAAATGTAAAGAGGGAGAAAAAGAAAAACAATGGGAATGTATCGTTGTAGGTTTTAAGCGTTTATCTGTTTTATCAATCTTAGGATTTGGAGGTGGCTACATGGAAAGAGAAGAAGTTGTGGAATACAAGGATCGCAATGACTCTGATGAAGAATATGATGAGGTAGGAACTTCTGGTATTGTCTTAGACATTTTATTTCACTTTTGCTTTTTGTTTATTGTTTTTGTTCTCATACATATTCACACATTAGTTTTTGTTCTCATACGTATTCACGCATTAAATCTGAGTATGCCTTAAACTGTGTTGGATTTTATATATACATAATGATGTCCTTGTTTAACATTACTACTTTTAGAATATAAGATAAATGTATTCATTTTTCAGTTTGGGAGAAAGAAGAAAAAATTCAGGGGCCAGCTTCCCCCTGTAATTAGTGTGGTAGAGGAAACGGCCCAAGAAGAAGACGATGATGATGATGACGATGATGATGTTGATGAATCCAAGTATCGACTAGATTCAGATGAGGTACATAGATTAACAAATATACTTTCTAATGCATAACTAAGTATATTTATGTGTTGTCCAATTTTAATACATTTTTACATATAGTAATCAGTTGGGCAGTTTTTTTATTGCTGTCCAGGATTTTCAGATGCAAAGTTCATTTTTCATTATTATCACTGATATGTTGTTGTTCTCTTCCAGGATGAAGAAGGTGGAGACCTATCTAAATACGACTTAAGTGGTGGGAGTGATGATGAGAATGATAAAAAGGACGGAAAAGAGAAGAAATCACGATCAAGGTCACATTCTTCTAGGTCAAGGTCATCAAGATCCAGCTCTTCTTCCTCATCCAGATCTAGGTCAAGGTCAAGCTCCAAATCAAAATCAAGGTCAAGATCCAGATCAAGATCCCGCAATCGCAAAAGCAGGGACAGAAAACGCAGCTATTCCCGTTCTAGGTCCAGGTATATTGGGTATATGGGTAAAGGTAGTCAAGGTCAATATCAGTTTTCTTACGATTTTCATTGTCTGTGTGCTGATTTTTGGATGGGTTTGGAGCCTGTACAAGCAAGTACATTCAGTATTTACAGGGGCTTATTGTGTTATAAATGATTTTGTATTTGTAATAGTTTGAAAAATTAATTAAGTCATAGAGTTTAATATAGTTAGATATCATATAATTTCCTGCACATAGGGGAAACAATATTTGTTCTCAGCTTGTTAGAACATGAACTTCTATACGCTAATATGTTGACACCATTCTTACTTTGAATGACTATTATCCAAGCCACTTGATTATATTTTCTCAGGTCAAGTTCACGATCGGACCGTAAATCAAAATATAGAAGACATACAAGGAGTAGGTCTCGATCTCGGTCAAGGTCTCCAAGATCCCGTTCCAGAAGCAGACATAGACACTCCAGCGGGTCAAGGTTTGATTTGTTGGGGATAGCAAAATTGGGGTCATGATGATTGGAATAACCTAGATACAGCCTACATACAGTACCTTGCTCAGTGGAAATGTTTCTCTGTCATGCATAAAGTATCATTAAAAATATTTTTTCATCTTAGCCGAGTTATAATAGTCTTTACATGACAGATAGGAAGTGAGTGTCTTATCAAAGATGTGTACTATTTCTTTTTTGTTTTTTCAGGCATTAAGCCGTGCAGGCTTCAAGATATAGAAAGTCTCAGTCAGTGTGCACCAAAGTTACCAGTTAACAGTTGTTTGCAAGGTTACTGGTATAAAGAGATTTCTGGGTTATTATCGCAGATGCCCTGGCATAATTATGCAAAGAAATATTGTGTCAGTGTTTCTTGCAGCTCTTAACATCAATCATAAGAATCCTTAGAATTTTTCTATTTTCCTCATTCTTTTTATTGACACCTAGGATCTACCAAACGTAGCTCTTAGTTGGCACGGAAATGGAAGGGGAGGGGGGAGAGTTTAAAGGAAATATAGAAAACAATATTTGTAAAATTTCTGAAGAAGTAATGTAGAAGTTGTTATCAACTTATTGATAGTTAACTGTTTGTCTTGTTTTATTTGTGTAGGTTGTAGTTATTGTACAGAGATATCAAGAATTCATTCTTGATCTCATTTTACTCATTGTCAGCTTGTGTATAAGCCAGCTCATGTATGGTTTTGTATGTAATTTTGTGGTTTGTGCATGCATTTAATGTACTTGAATGGACTTAGAAAATGATGTTGTAAGTATTCAATCCCAAAATGAATTTGTTCTAATGTTGTAAATTTTCAATCCCAAAATGAATTTCTGTAGAACAACGTTCTACTCTTTACGTAAAGTGATGTAATGTTCTTTGCTAATGGCTTGAATCGATGCACAGGTTGGATTATATCATCAAATGTCATGATTCAAATATTTATGATAGAAATTCTAAGGCTGATAAAGTTGCTTAACATCATCTGATGACTGTAAGGAGGTTTTAAAACACTGAAAACAAAGATAACAGTATATATCTTGTGGATTAAAAAAAACATTGAATTTAAGATTTTGATAACTCAAAAGTTATTCATTAAGACTTGGTGGAATTTCATTTTTAATACCACATGATATTGTCTTTGCACTTAAAAAAGTTTTGACTTGATTGCTTTTTGCAACCTCATTTTTGCATCCTTATCTAAAATCAGATTTAAGAGGTTTAACCCATAGGGAAAGTTTTATACAAATGCATAGTGCTTTCAATCTCTTTCTGTTATTTTGTCTTTAGCTCTTCCAGAAATATGTCCTCCCAAACTTAGTGACATGCCCCCCACCATGCATATGCTTTGCTACGTATTAGTAAGCCCCAATGTTGAAAATTGAATTACAAGCAGTAAATATGGTTGAGTTTCCTTTTGAATTCAGATTAAAAAAAAAAAAATTGGTAAAGTAATTGTTAAAGATAGTTGTCCATCCTAATTGAAAATACAATTGTCAACATATAGAGGCAGAATTCTAGAAGTTCATCATCTTGTGACTTTGAAATGCTCAATTTACACATTGAATATTTACACTCACCTCAAGATTAATTACCCACTTCTTGATATGTACAAAATACAATATTGCCTAGTTACAGTGGATTGTTTTTGAGAAATTGAAATTCCAAATTTAGAACATTTTTAATCTATCAAGAATATGCAAAGCAGCATTTATAACAACTATTGGCACTTGTGATAGTCTTTTGTGTTTAACATAACAGGTAAGTATGAAGACAAAATTTGGATTTCTTTCCAACAGCTTTGGGTCATATTTAGCTCCACCACTGCATCTGGAACTTGCATTTTTAAAAATCTAATTCTGTTTAAGAAAAGCTGTAGGTTGGAGAAGATAATGATGACAATGTACTAAATGGTGGGTTGCAATTTTGAGATGACCAAGGGAATGAAAAAATACAGCCACTGCACCAAATTTATATTTTAGTTAAAGAATTACTGAATTTTGGAAGTTTAGCTCTTACACATAAATTCTTGCTTGAATTGTTAAAATACATTGCATGGTAGATTTTTTTTTTTTTTTTGAAATGCTTTACCTGCAAATAAAAAATAAAACCAAATGTATTTGGGGAAAAAAGTATTGTTTTGTTTTAGTAGCAAAAGAAAAAACTGATAATATAGTAAAAATTGGTAATGATGAAAAAATAAGAAGTTTAATCATGGATCCTGCCACAGAGCACACGTTATCACCTGATGCAAAGTAATTTTGTCGACCTATTTGGGATGTAGTTTCCCTCTTAACATTTTGAATCATGTTGGCATGTTTGTAGAATCTACAGCTTGGGGACACAATTCATTTAATGTTTATTTTGAAAGAACTGGATTCTTACAATCTAAAATTTTTAGCTTTTTGAGCCGACTTGTGCTTCTGTAAAAATTTTTTTTCTAAGTAATGGAAATTTTTTTCGAGATTACAACTAAAAGCATGCATATAAAGATTAATGATGCATATGAAGTCAATTTTGTGCCACAAAAACCAAACAAATGCCAACATATATTTTCAAATAGTATAACTAAGAGAATTACCAAGAGATATTGTTTAAAATTACCCAAAAAATGGTATTTAAACGCATTTTTATGCTAGCTTTCTATGCTGTATATACATGGGGCAGAAAAGTAGGTCACATAAAAAGGTAAAATCTCTGACCAAAAATTTAAAGAATGGGATTGTCCAAATCTCTTTTATGGCTGGTCGAATGATTTATAGTTTTCCCTTGCCATATCGACTTTATTTGAGTTGTAAAGAAACTAGTAGAAGTTTATACGTGTTACTGGGAATGATCTCTCAATTGTGTTTCATTGCTTGAAATGTCATATCCCTTTAAAAATTGAGTTATTCGGACAAAACCCATTCCTACAGAGAGCAAAAATACTTTCAAAGAAAAGCATGCCAAAAAATCAACTGAGCCAATTTAAAGGCATACTTCTGTATGAAATACTCCTCTCTGATTGCATGCTTAAGAAATCAAAATGTTTTATCCCTGATCAAATATGATATTCCATTTCTAAGAAAGACCATTAAGAGTATAATTTAATGATTTCCAAATCTATGTCTTCCATGTAATCTGACCTTAGCACAACAGTGTTTGCTTTGTCATTCTCAGAACTGTTTATAATCCTATCTGCTTCATTGCCATTTCCATTCCTTTTGGTCCTTTGAAATAATGATTTACAATTTAATTTCCTACTGTCCTTTTCTTCCTCTGTGATTGGAGAGTGTCTCTTCATTAATAGCATTTTACCAGCAGAACCCAATGGTGGACTTGGATCCTTCAGGCTCTGCATCACAGGGGTCTTTTTCCCATCTGCAAAATAAAATTAACATAAAGTCTATTTTATTAAAATCGCGAAAAATACAGTACACCAAAAATGCATCACATCTAAGTTAATTCAATCTCTTTCCCATAATTATTTTTTCCTTGAAAAATTGTATTATCTTCAGATAAATATCTAAGTTGCTTACAAAATGACTTTAGTTTCATGTCCTTGGGGTTGGTCTTTCTCTTCTTGGCAGGTGGAAGTAGATTGGACTGTTTCCATGTATTGATCACGTCAGCAGCCCAACCTGTGTTTTCACAATGAAAACTTTCACTCTTTTGATGAGACCGAACCATCTGAAGCTGCTCTTTCATCATTGACAGTCCCTTTTTCTGAAAGAAAATTAATTCGTAACAATTCTGTTTTAAAGATAATCAACTGAAACTTTTGATAATTTGGGGACAACTACAAAAGTGTACTTTCAAACACAGAAATTTTGGCATAGTTTCTACCACTGCTGTCAAAAATATAGTATTAGTGCAAAGGCAACTGTGCACCATCAAATAGCAGTAATGGAGTTATTACAGACTAATTCATGTATTTTAATTACTTTCGCACCAAGAAAGTTAATTTTCACAATCAATGTCTAAATATACTCACTGTGGCAGATGTCCCAGTCAAATCCAATATCATCAGACTTTGTAGACTAACCAAATGTTTTATTGATGAATCTGTTATTAGATCATTGTCTGAAAATCAGAAAACTTACTTTGTCACTTTTGCCCAACTTAAAATTTAATAACTTTAAAGCACTTTAACTGTTACAGTAGTGGTTGTGATAAAACTTGTATTATTAACAATAGAAAAATCCATCAGCCCAGGTCTTGGGTACAAAAGAAAAGGTTACAACATAAAAGTACCTGTCAAATACAGTACTCTCAACTTCTGCAGCCCTCTTTTCCAGACACGGTGTGGGATAGTTAACTTCTGGATACCTTTATCAGACAGTGCATTTGACATCAAGTTCAGTTTCTGTAAACTAAAGACAAAATATGAAAATTCTGAAAACTGGACAAGGTAGAGTAATTAATGCACATGGTTAATGACTGCTTTAGATCAAAGGTTTTCATTTATAATCACAGCAGACACTTCCTTGTTATTTCCTCTATAATGCTCAAACACGGACTGGCAATTCATCTGATACACATTTTACCCTGAAACTTTTCCAGGTTAAAATAGTATTTTTCTTTAGTTTTAATACCCTGAAACTCAGAGGACACTCTCCTCTCTACTACATGTGCATTAAACAGCATGCCACTGCTGTCTCCAATATCAAAATTCAGAAGAATGCCAAGAGTTTAGTTTCCAATGTCTATTGTCCTCTGAAACAAAGGGTAAAACTTACTCCACTAGCTGTGCAATATGCATCAGGATGTCATGCTCGTCGCCAACCCTACACATGCTCAGATCAATTTCACAAAGAGAAGTAAATTTGCACAGATGATCAAAATATTCATCAATCACTTTGCAGCTATCTCTGAGGTTTAAGCATTCCAGTATGTTGCCCCCATAGGCATTACAAAACAAAGTCAAAGCAGTAAGGCATTCAGCATCAGCTTTTCTAAATATACCAGCTTTGGAGCTGGCCTTGAAAATCCTCCATCCAATAATGTCGGGGAATCCCCAAAGGGACTCTACTGCTGTAATATTGGTACCGACAAATTCCATACAAATGTTTAAAAGGCTGCAAGGACTGTAAACGTTAAAACCATCCTTAGTGACTGATTTCTCATAAAAAGTCTGCTTTTGCAACTCAGCAGGATATGGTTCCTCTTGAAGTCTTTTTACAGTGCCTTTTAACTCTATTCGTATATTTTCGTTCCTTGCTGATACAACATGAAGTTTGCCCTTCTCACTGACGCAAACCAAGTCTGAATTCTCCATCTCCTTTATTGCTAGTATCATAACCTTGCTTGTAAAATCGACAACAGCACATTCCTAAAACAAAGAATATGACATATAATTAGGACAATCAACAGTTCTTGCACCCAGGACTCAGAAACAACTGGATCTTTTCACTGATGGATAACTGTGAATTTTACTGATACTACATCTTTAATTATATGTAATTTCTTAACACTTGAACATTCCTCTTGAGTGGTACATGTAGCAATTAATGAGCAGGCCACTCTTCAGTTCTATTATATGCAGTATGCATGCAGCACACATGTTATACAGAAATATAATCTTCCTAAATAACATGTATAACAACACTACAGCTGGTAAAAGTTTTGAAAAATGAACCATTTGCGTTACAGCGTAAGGATAAAGAAAAATTGAAGGGGAGTACTAATACAGGGTAAATGAAAATTACAAAGCTTCACTATACTATGGTATTTTTAATCACATAGACCATGTCTCCTTACAGGGAGATCAGTGTACTGTCCAAGAAAAACATGCATGCATATGACTTTACTTATTCACTGGTAGTATAGGGAACATTTAATAAATTGATAGTTACTTACACCAAATAAATTATAATTGACTGCTAAAACAAATTAGAGGAGCATGAATTGAGTCATTAGTACGAGGAGATGGAAATGGATTGGCCATGTGATGAGAAAGGACCCTAGTTCCACTGGCCACGAAAGTACAGTAGCCATGCACTGGACACTAGAGGGACACAGAAAAACAGACAGACCTCAAAGCACAAAGGGCCGTCGAAGCAATGTTGAAACAACTAGGAGAAAGCTGGGGAATCATTCAACACCTAACTTGTGACCAAGAGCATTGGAAGATCTCTGTTTGTGCCCTAGACGGCAGCCGGCGTAAAAGGAATTGATGACAGTCGTACTTACAAACTTTGTTGATTTTTAATATTGCACAGCAGCAAATACTTGTCGCAGTGCGATTGGTCAGGCGAAGGACTTTTTTGATTGGTCATACACACGCCTCGCTTTTCCTATTTTATTTCCTTTCCAAAAAATATGTGAAATCCTTCTTTTCAGAAACTCATAAATTTCACTTGGTTACGCTGAAATAAAATGAAAGGATCACGACATGGTATGGCATTAATTATTTCCTCGAAGAAAAATCGTTTTGACAGGAAAATCTTGTACAGATAACCACTTGCGTCTAATTTAATTAGTAATAGTAATAAATGCATTTCTGATAAGGATGCTCTTTCAGTATCGAGTTACCGAGGGCGCCAGATACCGGTACAGTACATATTCTACAAGACAGACAGGACATTCCCATGTTCAACAGGCTTTAGAATTCAATATATAACAATACGCCACTTACCTGTATATATAGATGTCTTTTTTTCGTGCTCTTTGAAATTATTGGCGAACATTCACTCCTGTTCTGAAAAAGCACCCTAAGTGTTTCATTTGACTGAAGTGTGTTGGCGTTACTAGGGGGTCCCTTGGGGGAGGGGGAGTAGTTATCACAGTTCACAGCAAATAAAATATCAATTCACAAATCACTGGAAGATAAACTTTATTCACCACCAGTTATTCTTCCATGGGCCAAAAATTAAGAAAATGCATTCACGAGTCAGGGGAATGGGGTGCTTCACGAATCATTCTAAATATAATGAATGTTTCACGCAACACGGGAAATAAAAAGTCGCTTCGCGGATAACGAAAGTACCCAATGAGACCTTCCTACGAGTCTCTCTCCAGGGCCGTAGCCTCCGGGGGGGGGGGGGGGGGGGGGGGGGCAGGGGGCAGGNTTTGCCCCCTCGTGTCCGCTTACTGCCCCCCCTGGCATTTTGCTCAGGCTACGGCCCTGCTCTCTCTCTCTCTCTCCCCCCCTCTCTCTCTCTCTCTCTGTGTGTGTGTGTGTGTGTGTGTGTGGCCGATTGACAGTGAGAGATAGATATGACAGAATCGTTTATAGAAAAATACGTCGCTGAGACTGTAATTAAGCACGTCCTGATGAGTTCCACCTCCGTGTTAAAGAAAGACAAATCGTTGCACGAATGGATTTTTTGCGCAAAATACTGATCACGTTTACAACGATTTTCATCAAAGTTCCAATGGCCAACTCTACAATTTACTCTACAACTTCTCCCTGAATTTCTCACGGGATAAACAAAATTAAGTATTATTGATATCCAAATGAATCTTTGTGTTTTAGGCCTTGCTTCTATAATGAATGATTTGAAATATGGCACATTGATGTCATATAATATAAATTAATCAGGAAGATCGCCCCTATGCTCTTTTAAAGCACACTGCCTGCATTAAAAATTCATATAGCAAATAAGGGAGATGAAAATCGATGAATTTCACTCTTGACGGTGAAAATGATTTATAAGTTATAGATCACGTGTTTTTAAGGAAAATGTTGAAATGTCTATTATTATTATTATTATTATTATTATTATTATTATTATTATTATTATCAGTGGCGGATTTAGAGGGGGGTCAGGGGGGTCCTGACCCCCCCCCCCCCTTCTATTTCTAAAAAATCACACCAATGGTCTCCGCTTGAAATTATAATTTTGACTAGATGAATCATAGTTCTAAAACATACCAAGTGGCACCGTTCGCCCTCTAAAATACCAATTCTTTTCGGGGCCCTTAAGCGGCCCCCGCACGCCACGCCAAGGGGGAGGGGGGTGAGTAGGCACCAGTGTTGTGAACCCTTACCACACTTGAAAAACCTGGGTGTCTACTTTGACTCCACACTCTCCATGGATAGACATCAAATATCACTCAATGTACATTGTACTATATATTTTAATATCTCAACATCTTAACTATTTATTTATTGATTTTATTCACCTTATTCTGTTCATTTTACCCCTCTAAAGTCTACTGAAAATTTAATATGGAATTCAAACTAATCAGTTCGTGATTGATCAAGAACTGATCACGAATATATACGAATCTGTTAAGAACTTCACGAACTGATTACGATTCAACCACGAATCCTGAATTTTGTAAATTCCTGGCGATAAGTGGGATTCGTGGTCTGTGTGAAATAGGGGCATTATGGGTCATGGTAACTTAATGTTTTTGTCTCTTACATATCCCATGATTATTTTTAAAAAATGTTTTCATAAATAGAAATTGATACTGAAAAACAAGCAGAGTCAACAAAGTAATAATACATGAAGTAATTTAAAAGGCATTTAGTATATTTAGAAGGCATTCAACGATCGTCAAAAACATTTATGTAAATTGTTTTTTAAAAGGAGTCAGTTCGGGTGGTTGGCGATGCAGTTCCAAATAGTATTGTTTTCACTTACGTTCATAAAAAAAGCCCAATATAACCACTCTGCATCTCTACCATCTAAAAAGCGACCCATATTTAAGAGAATTAAAAATTTCTATAAGGAGAGATTGAGTACAGGGCAAGATACCGTTTTAAACAGAGACAGTCGTGACATCGGCGATGACACAGTGGTAAGGACGTCGGCTTATCAAACCAAACGTGTCGGATTCAATGCCCATGTTGGGCGTGTGATTTTCTTTTGTTAACGTGTGTTTTAAATATTTTAATTACAAGGTAAAGTGTACAGGTAAATAAGCCAAGAAATGCAGGTGTCATTGTGTCCTCGTCGGTGGCGAAATGGGTAGCGCACCTATATGGTTACGAAGCCTTCTTCGACGCCGACAGACACGAAGGCGCCTGGAGTAGGTTACGTGTAAGCCAGGCTAGGTGTAAGTTAGATCAGGCTAAGGTGTAGGTCAGCCTAGGAATAGCCTAACAGTTAGCTAGGAGTAGGAATAAAACTTAGAAAACCAAATAGGCATTTAGATATCAGTTATGAAATCCAATAATTGTGCTGTAAAAAAATGACTTAAATTTTTTTGACATTTCCAGTTTGGTGTTTGGATTAATTTAATGTTGTGGTGCAGTGTGTGACCTCTGACTTTGGACTTTCTTCGATAATTTTTATTAATACGAAAAGGAGTCCACATTTATCGATATACGCACTGAACAGGTTTATAATACTGAATGGATAAATAAGTAGATAGATTCATATAAAGATTAATGTGTAAAAGAAAGGAAAAGAAAAGAAAAGAAAAGAAAAGAAAAGAAAAGAAAAAAGAAAGAATAAAAAGATAGTTGATGAGAAAAAGGATATATGAGAAGCAGGGTTTATTTAGAAAAGGGAGTAGGAATAAAAGTTATAAAATGAAACAAGCATTGAAAAATAAGAAGGTAATACGAATATCACACCAATGGTTCCCCCTTGAAATTACATTTTAACAGCTGAATCATAGTTCTTAACCGTACCAAATGGCACTGTTCGCCCTCTAAAATATCAAGGAAAGTGTGGGGACGGTCGGCTTCGCATCCGCGGACCCCTCCTTCAAATAACTCTGGATCCACCCCTGATAATTATTATTAAATCGGTATATAAACCTCTACTGTTTCCCTTTTTTTCGTTTAACTGGAATAGCTGCCACGGGAATAATTTCTGTGCCAACATGTTCGAGCAGGCTACACGTACAAGGAACAATGACTCATATGTCTTAAAAAGGACCTGGATCCATAACGCTTATTCGATGTAAGCAGGCCTTCTGGTATTTTCATACGTGGATAGCCGAATATTCATTCGATTTCCTAATGCGTGCATAGTTTTAAAACGCAGTTAATTAGTCCTCTGCCTTACAGATATATGCCATCAAAAAACTCGGTTAAGTAAAATTTTAATATCTTAAAAGGCTTAAAAGTACTAAGGTTTCAACGTATCGTTTTTCAATTACGCGAGATTCTATCTCATTAGTCCGGTGGCTTAAGGAAAAAATCGTGACACGGCGGATAAAAGCACCAAATTTTGCATGTGGGTACCTTTTGACATTCTAAATCAAATTAGAGCCGTAGCCCACGGAAAAAATTTACCGTTTGGCCAAAAAATCCAAAATGGCCGCCAATTTATGGNTCGATACGAAAGCAAGGAACGTCAGGGCCTCGAGAAAGCAACCGTTGTTGCACCCTGATTTTCACATGACACTAATTTAAGATCTACTATCAGCGTACCTCTGCTGTTTCCGGATACTACATAAAGAAGTGCGCACAGAGGTGCGCTTTCAATGTCCTCTGAAACTCAGAGTACCTTCATTCAAACTCCTGGTGATTGTTCAGTGATAACGCTAAGTGAGTAAGCAAGCCATTGGAAAATTGATTCACACACAAAAAAGTATGGCTTCATTGTGAAAATAACTTTCTTTCATCTGGTATAAAAGCGGAATATATACAGGCTTGGTCAAAAAAAGGTTGTCCCACCATAAATCTCGTGTGTTTTTTGTTTACAAATGATCACCTCACATCTGTATTTACCGTTTTGAACAGTGTTTTTAATTCCAGATGCCATGTTTAAGATGACTCACGGTACAGCAAATACAAATAAAAATACCGATGAATATAGCCATATTTCATACCATGCTTTTATATTTTAGACCATGCACCACCTCAAATCTCGGGAATCTGATGTTCCACAGTGATTTCCAGGGAGGTAAAATCAAATGTCTATAAAATTAAAAGACACCACCAAATGTCACCTAATTTACACACAATGAACATAGCATGTGCTCGTTAAACGCCATGTGCTGCGTGACATGCCTTCCAAAAGTACACGAATTCGGTTTTGTAGAAAATTGTCCCATTCTTCCAAAAGACCCTGGTGGAGTT